GTGTGTACTTTACTATGTATGTGTGTACATTGCTATAAAGCAATATATATAGTTCTTCATATTTGATATATTTAAATTTGAAGACATACAGCGGAAGTTCACATTCACATCTTTATAGCTTATTCACTAAAACAAAATCAAGAAACCTATGAATATTAAGTCAAACATAACTAATATATCTATCCAGGGGTGGACTTCAAAAATTTTAGCAAGGGATTCTCTGCCTGGTTGCTGGGTGGGCGAGGTCATGGTGGGTGTGGCTTAGTCGGCCTCCTGCACCATGGAGGGGGGAGCATTTTTGCCCTCCCTGGGCTCCAGAGGCTTTCATCAAGCTTTTGGGAGGGTGAAAACGGCCTCCCAAGCTCTGGAGGCCCTCTGGAGGCTGGAAACAGGCTTCCAGTAGGCCCGCTTTTTGCCCTCCCTGAGCCTCCGCGTGTGCCCTGCATCCAAAATGGGCCATGTGGAGATTCCTAGGAAGGGCAGGGTGGAGTGGGCGGGGTCAGCCAGGACTGCGATTTGGGGGTTCTCCGAATTGCACAGAATCTTAGCTAGAGGTGCTCCTGAACCCCTATGAACCCCCAGCAGCCCACCCCCGAATCTATCTCACATATGTGATATAACAATATGTGTATGGGGGTGAGGTTGTAGAGATCCAGCTTCAAATTCACACTCAGCCACAAAAATTCTGAATTCAGTTTCAGGTTTTACTATTGATTTTCAACTACTCTGTGACCTAAGAAAAATATATTTGAAAGAAACACTTCCATTTGTCTTTCTTTCTGATGGTTAAAATCAATTACTGTCAGGCCTAAAAACCAAGAAAGACATGTGGTAATTCTTCCAAACAGAATTCTTTATTGTTCAGACTATAAAAAGAATCTTGCCAAACTGAAGCACTTTACTACCTGCATCTAATATATATTCTTAGAACTTTTAGGGAGGGGCTGTCTTCATTCTCTTTTTCTCACACAAAATACCCAGGCTAAGGTGCCCCTTATTCCTCTGAAAGCATCCCCTGTTGCTGGGAATCCAAACTATTACATTTCAACACAACTGCTCTGGTTCTTTGAGTGGCCCATACAGAAGAATGCAGCAAATAAGCTATCAGACAGTTTCTCTATAATGACTCACATTATATGAAATAACGTATCTCGAGAATCTGTTGATGAAAGAGTTTATCTGGATCCTTTTTCTTCTGAGCTGGGAAAAAAAAAAGAGTAGAGGCAATCAAAACACAAGGTGAGCTGCTTAGAAAGGAGGTTTTATTTCCCAAAAACAATAAGAGATTTCATTCTTGGGGCCAGCTGGCAACCGGCTGATACATCGGTGAGATTTTTTATAGAATTTGAGCCCTTTGTGTTTGTGAAGCAAATGCAGAGTGTGGTGTATGTTTTATGACCAGAAGAAATATCTTGTTTGTTATATCCCTTATCAATAGGATTTTTTTTTCTTTGTAGGCCATATGGTTTTTGTAGTTGTTCTCCATGGGCATAGGAAGTATGGGCATAGATGTTAAATCTCATGTCCTTTAATGCCCTTTAATTTGGTTTGGCTATGGTGATCAATCCCTGTCTGCCTTTAGTTCTTTGTCTAGTTCTCTGTATTGCCACTTTGAGTTATTGCTGTCTCTGGTTTCGAAGATCGCCTGCTACATTGTATCTCCACCTAATTTATGAATGAAACCCTGTATCTTATGAATGGAGACAAGGTTTCTTGGGCTAAAACCAGCAATAAGCAATACAGGCAGTTGGCAATAAGCGGTTTTCCTTTATTTTTACGGGGAATTTCTACTGACTCTTAAGGGAATTTTCCACTGAGGACTCTCCTTTTTAAGTTTAGGAGAGGTCTTTAATAACACTGGACACTGTTTAACATATTGCTGACTATTTTAGGCACTAATTTAAAATGATTTGATGATCTGTTATTCTTTCTCAAGCCTTGATAGAAGACAGTGACAAATCACTTCTGAAAATGTTGCCAAGAAAACTGGAGGAACTTGTGTATATACAGTGGTGGGATTCAGCCAGTTCGCACCACTTCGGGAGAACCAGTTGTTAACTTTGTGAGCAGTTTGGTGAACTGGTTGTTGGAAGAAATCATTAGTGCAGAGAACCGGTTGTTAAATTATTTGAATCCCACCACTGTGTATATACCTATGGTAAACATATATAGGGTTTTCTTTAAGAATACACTTATGTTATATACTGTTACTTCTTGGAGTTCTCCATTTTACATTCATATACTGTTTTTATAAAGCATTTATTAAATGTTCATTGCCCACATAAAAAAGCTTAAAATTAAATTGCATTGTCTACAGTATTATAGTGAATTTTATACTCTTGATATACTCTTGGTACTAGTTTTATAGTGAATCTCCTAACCATAGTCATATATTCCTGCAGGTGAAAAACATGGAGATTTCCTCTGATATTATAAAAGAAAGCTGAATTTTTCAACTTTGTGAAATAGAACTGTAATGAAACTTCCATTTAATCCAAATCCCTTAAAATGACTTAAAGAAGAAGAATGAATCTATGCTACAGTATTCAAGCATTGCTCAATATTTTAATTGGTCTGTGTGGAGCATCTAGCTATTCCTAAATTGGTTGCTTTGTTGAATTTTGTTTTGCTTAGAAATAATCCCATTGAACATTTCATTGAGCAATTGGTCTGTAGTGATTTCTTTATCAGCATAAGCTGTCAGAAAAGATTTAAAGGTATTACTAGCTTTAGAAAGAAGGCTAGTCCCATGAAGGTTAGTTGATGATCATCAACATAAATCCACAATTTTGGCTACTTGAGCTCCATAGAGATCTCTTAAATGTGTTTGTTCTGCTCTATTAGCTGAGGAAAGAATTACCTGTCAGCAAAGGATTGTTAAACATTAGTATCTAAGTAACTATTAACTAATGGCAGTCTCATACAACTTTTGATGTAGACAGAAGTGGTGATTAGCTTACCCAGTAATTTCTTGAAAGCTTGTATGCGTTATTTATTGATTTAGTGATTCATTCCTTTCTCCCTGTATATTAAAATGGCATTGCTTCTTTTTTAAATAAATAAATAATAAATAAATAAATAAATAAATAAATATTGTTTTTGAATTCCACAGGCAAATTGATCAGATTTTCATATTTGATTTTCTTTTGAAAATGCTATTCTAACATGATAGAATAGCATGTGATAGTCCAACTATCTAGTTCTAGTGATAGTCCAACAAAGCTAGTTGATAATGTCCACATATTCTAACTCTCTTCATTGGGAGCCAGCATAGTTGGCTGAAAGATGAGTTGTTTATGAACAAAACACTCTATCTTATGAATGGAGACAGAATAACGAAATTATTTATATTATTTACTTTAATAAATAAACTTTTTGCTTGTTTATTTATTATTTAACAACCATATTAGACAAACTAGAGAGATGCCATAATCTACCTATGAAAGAAAACAATGAATTGGAACTAGAGACAATCACTTATCCATTGTTCTCCTCTCCCTTCTGCCCAGCTTTCAACTTCAGAACTAGATAATGTTTATTATTATTTTTTTGAGCTATATGGGGTTTTGTTTTGTTTTTTTGTTCTAATCTTACCTTATCAATCTCTGTGAAGATAGTTCTGATGAATAAATTTCTTGGCCCATCATCCTGAGAATGAAGGGTGATCTCTTTTATCTCCTGACTGTTTTGTGGGGTCAACTGTAGCGTGGGCACATATTCTCAATATATTGAGAATGCAAGGAGATGACATATCGGTATTTTCAAACTTGGATTAGAAAACAGCTACACATTCTTTCATGATCAGGAAATGGTTTGTCAGCTTCTGTCCACCAAAAAGTTATTAAGAAAACAAGAAAACTCTACTCTTTGGTGTTGTTAGTTGCAAAATCATGTCTGACCCTTTGCGATCCTATGGACAACATTCCTACAGGCCTTTCTGTCCTCTACCATCCTCTGGAGTCCATTTAAGCTCACGCCAACTGCTTCAGTGACTCCATCCAGCCACCTCGTTCTCTGTCATCCCATTCTTCTTTTGCCCTCAATCTTTCCCAGCATTAGGCTCTTCTCCAGTGAGTCCTTCCTTCTCATTAGGTGGCCAAAGTATTTGAGTTTCGCCTTCAGGATCTGCCTTCTAAAGAGCAGTCAGGGTTGATTTCTTCTAGGACTGACCAGTTTGATCACCTTGCAGTCCAAGGGACTCACAGGAGTCTTCTCCAGCGTCATAGTTCAAAGGTCTCAATTCTTTGGCCCTCAGCCTTTCTTATGGTCCAACTTTCACAGCCATACATTGCAACTGGGAAAACCATAGCCTTGACTATACACACATTTCTTGGCAGGGTGATGTCTCTGCTTTTTAGTACTGTCTAGATTTGCCATAGCTTTCCTCCCCAGGAGCAAGCGTCTTTTAATTTCTTGGCTGCAGTCCCCATCTGTGGTAATTTTGGAGTCCAGGAAAATAAAATCTGTCACTACCTCTATTTCTTCCCCATCTATTTGCCAGGAATTGAGAGGGCCAGATGCCATGATCTTAGTTTTCTTAATGTTGAGTTTCAAGCCAACTTTTGCACTCTCCTTCTTCACCCGCATCAAGGTCCCCTTCATGGATTACTGTCTTGTCGTGGCGAAGGAGTTTGCATAGTTCAATGAAGTTATGAGCTATTCCAGCAGGGCCATTCAAGATGGACAGGTCATAGCACATTTTTGACAAAATGTGATCCACTGGAGAAGAAAATGGCAATCCACTCCGGTATCTTTGCCATGAAAACCCCATGGACAGTAGCAAAAGCTCTCCTCTAGCTAACTTAAAATATTGGATTGGATTTATCATTGAATGCTAAAGTGAAAGTATACAATTTTTGAGATTTTTGTATTTAAATCTCTTTTCCTTCCACCTCCATTTCCCCTTCAATAAATCTTGTTGAAGAAACTTTTTATCATCAAGAATGTGATGATTCTCTTTACATTTTACTTTACATTTTAAGGATGTACACTGCAAGCAATCAAGATTCAGCCTTTTAATAAGAGAAAAGAGATAAGGTGACACATTAGAAAATGCTGGCAGAGACATTGGGAGATATAAGTGGAAAAGATGAAAGTGTGTCAGGGAGGAATAAGAGCTGAGATTTCTCTGAGCCTAGAAGATATTTTGAAGCAGAAGAAGGGAACAGGAGTTTGGGGATCCCAGGTGATGCTGGTCAGCACAGTAGGGCTCAGTTCAGTGAAACAAATATGGGAAGAGACATAATAGGCCACATTGCTGAAGGCCAGTTTCTTTTCTTTTCTTTTCTTTTCTTTTTTTTTTTTAACATATGAAGACCTGGAAAAAAAACAAGGACCTGAGGATAATCCTGATTTTAGGAAATCTCTTACATGCTATCTAAGTCTGTCACATCTCCAAATGTAATCTATAAAATTCTTCTGCTACATGACTCAATTTGGACAGTTGTTCCCCAAAACATTCAGAGTTGCTCATGTGTCTTGGAAGAGTTAAGCTAGTGTTCTACTTCTTCACAAACAAAAGTGAATTCTAAACCAAGGATTGTATTTTCCACGATATTGAATTGCCTTCAGTGAATTAGAAAGCATGAAATGGGAAGGTTTCTTCGCAGATTTGTTCATATGCCTTAGGAGGGTTGAGCAAGTGCTCATATTCGTCACAGAAAGAAACTATCTTTAAGGAAATGCATACATTTCTTCAGGGAATTAGGGAGAATAAAAAGAGAAATTGCCAAGCATTTGTTGTTACTATTCACGTGAAGGCTTTCTCATTGCATACATCATTGCCTTGAATTCACAATAACCTTGGGAAAAGATCTGGCTTCTGATAACTAAACTGAAAGGAAGACCAAACTTTTAGATATAATCAGATAATTACAACAGGGAAGCATTGTTCAGTAACATAAAACAAACAAAATATCTCTATAACTTATAGATGTATTGCATTTGTGAGGATACAATATTTTAATTGTATAATGCATTGATTTGACATTTGGAGCACTGAGATATTCCTCTTTTTCTTTCTATGTAATTATTCAATTCTGTGAATCGACCAGGAAAGTAGAAAAGAATTGCTGATGGATGTTCACAAAATCAAAGTCCTTTCTGCACAATTTGTTAAATCACAAACAAGTTTTATTTATTTATTTAACATATTTTATGGCCACTTTTCAGGGAGATTCCAACCTCTGAGTTAGAGCGTGCTGGGGAAATCAGAAACCCCATTCCTTACTAGCTTGCCTCCATTAAGTTTTGGCACACTTATTCTTTTTTAAAACCAGTGATGCGCTATGTGGCCAAGAGCCATGTATCGTTTGTGGAAATGTGTTTTGTGTGCAACTGTGTGCACAATTGTGTGCAACTGAGCCTAAAGCTTGCTATCTGGCAACCTGGCTAGATTCACAACTGTTAGTCTGTTCAAGTGCTTCAAGAATTTATTACTAGTCCTTGTCTGTTTCATTGGTCTCTTACAGTAAGTGTAAAATCCCTCAAGAATTTTGTTAAAATTTAAAGAAAACTTCATAAGCAATTTATTTTCCATCAAATTGAAGATAACGGTTAAAAATAGGCAAGAATGTTTCCACAAAATCTCACAATGTCCTGACTGAAAATCATTTCACTCTGTTGTGAAATGATCACCTTCAGGTCAGGACATTGTGAGACAATAAATATGAGAAAAAATGGATCCCTAAATAGACATTTGAAAACTTTCCTTAGTAGGGTTGGAACAAAATGTAAGCTTAACAAAATGTCTTATTCTAACACTGAATGAAAAGGTCAAAAGTCATATTTCTACATTTATTATTATTTTCAAAGCTTACTTCATTCTAAAATGGTGAAACTGACTATTCAGCTAGCTTTAATGTATATTTGGTTATTTCATATTTTATAATAAAGTTTTATAATAAAGTTTTTTTTTCCCTAGGCTTTCCAATATAATTATTGGACTCATTTATGTTTTGGAAAGTAACTTCTGCATGAGTAATTTTGACTTGTGCTTAATGTGAAATGTAAAGAATGAAGATGAATCTGAAATAATTTAGTATGCTATTCTTAAAGGTTCTGATATATATTTGGTTAAAATCCTAAAAGTGCTATTGTAGAAAGATAACATGAAAACAGTTGATTAAAAAAGTTTTAAAAACCCATGGTAAGTAATTAAGTAATTTAAATTTACAATTATCACTACTGAGTTTAAATAGTAGGTGATTATCACCATTTTATTAAGTTTTTCATTAGAAATAAATTTAGCACTAATGAAATATGGAAGTCACAGAGGGACAGTGCTTCAATCCAAAATCCTCTTCTGATTTAAAAAAGAATAAAAACAGATTATTCAGAAGTTTAATCATTTTAGTTACTTCTGGATTCAGCTCTTTGTTTTGCTTTTAAGCAAATGTGTACAATAGCCATTCTTATAGATATATTTTATGGCAGCGGTGTCAAACTCAAGTTGTCATGGTGACATAATGTGACATATTGGGACTTTTTCTCCCTTCGCTAAACCAGGCGTGGGCATGGCCAGTATGTGACGCATCCGTCTCATGGGCTGGAAGTTTAGCAGCCTTGTCCTATGATTGGCTACATAATACCATTCCCACATTTGACTATTCTGTAATCAGAGGGTGTTGAAAAGTGAAATAATGTTGGGTTTCTCATCTGAACTTTTCATTTTCTTCCTTGCTGTCATGCCCTTAGGGTCAGATTCCAAGATCAAGTGGATCAGTTTCTACTGAAGACAACACTTGCAGATTCAACAGCCACTGTTTGTTTGTTTTATGTTTGTTTTATTTGATTTGTATACCGCCCTACTCCTGAAGGACTCAGGGCGGTGAACAGCCACAAGATAAAAACACATTAGTACAAAAATTAAAACAGAATAAAACTGGATTAAATAATTTGGCTGAAGACCAATTTAAAACACCCCAATAAATTAAAACCAATTTAAAATTTGTATTTTAAAAGGAAAAAAGGGAAAAATTAGGCCAGGCCAGCCTGATAGAATAAAAAGGTTTTAAGAGCGCGGCGGAAGGTGCGTAGATCCGGGATCCTCCGTATCTCCGGGGCGAGCTCATTCCAGATAGTAGGTGCTCCCACAGAGAAGGCTCTCCCCCTGGGAGCCACCAGTCGACATTGTTTGGCCGACGGCACCCGGAGGATCCCCTCTCTATGAGTCTGATGCCCTTTCATGTCCTTCCTCGGTCAGCACTGATCTCTCTTTAGCCAACACAAGTGCCAAGTAGTGGCCAGGAAAGCTTTAGCTGTCTATGTCAATTGGAAGAGGATTTAAATCATTGCTGCAGGCAACATCAACATCTGGTTTGTACTTTCTTCAGCATCTGTTTCTACTTCTCAAGTTTCTATCATCTCTTCTACCTACCTCTTGCCTTTTTTCCAGACAAACTTTCTTGACATCTCCACAAGTCTCTCTGCAAATGTACAACTTCAGCCACTGTGTTTTGAACTAAAGTAAAATAGAAAATAATTTCTAAGATACTTTCTGTAGCTTAATTAGTTCTTTATTCACTAAATTAACATAGATATTTAATATTAAGAGTTAGCTCAAAGTCCAAAAGAATATGAAATTAGATTAAGAATTATTGGCACTATATAGTTGCCAGAAGGCTTAAAAATAAGGCAGAGAAAAGCTAAGTCTGGTAGAGACAATGAAATGCTTCACCACTTAATAAGACTGGGCTATAAGCAAATGTTATAGAACTATAATCCAGAATGTATAATTTTATAGGCAGACCCAATGTTATTATTTGATTAATTAAGTACTTAATTATGTCCAAAACCCACTTATAGTTTTCTTGGTTAATAGTGTATTAGGTATGATTATCACATTGAATGATTTATAATAATACTGATAGGCATCCTCCACATAACATCCCAGACTTAACAACTGTTGATAAGGCAAAAAAATCTGCATAGTGGACATGGCAGTACCTGGAGACAGCAGAATAGGAGACACAAAGAACTGGAAAGATAACAAAATACAAAACCATGCAAATAGAAATAGACCAACTGTAACAAAACCAGGGGGGAAATTGGGAAACCAGGGGTGAAATTGGCTAACTGGGATGAAATAGAAATGCTCCCGGTTTGGACCGGCTCGGGCGAGTAGGTAGCGATGGTGGTGGGCAGTTCGGAAAACAGGTAGCAAAAATCCCTGCCCCCCGCCCCCCCCATGCCCAGCTGAGCCGCGCGATCATCAGAGCCTTTTTTTTCTTTTAAATGGCTCTGACCAGCCAAGCTCTGACGATCTCAGCTGAGTTGCCTGCTAATCAGGCAACTCAGCTTGGATCGCCAGAGCCATGTAAAAGAAAAAAACTTTTTCCTTTTAAATGGCTCGTAGCAAAAACCCCTCCCTCTCTCCCCCTCAGCTTGCTTACCTTAGCTGCTGGTTGCAACGCTTGCCTTGCTTCGCTTGCCTGAATCCATTCCATCAGCAAGCAACTCCCTGCTGCAATCAAGCAGGCAGGGAGTTGTGGACTTCAACTGCCAGAATTCCTCAGCCAGCAAAGCAAAGCTGGCTGAGGAATTCTGGGAGTTGAAGTCTACAAGTCTTAAAGTTGCCAAGGTTGGAGACCCCTGTTCTATTGGGTAAGTTTTTTTCCCCTTTGGGAGCTTTAAAAAAATAGTTAATTGGGGTTTTTTTTAGTTGTTCTTTTTTTAGACCTAGCCATTTAAAGTTTAGGAAGTTTTAAATTTAGCTACTTTTATATAAAAATAAAAATAAATTAAAATAAAATAATATTTGTGCAGCTTTCTGAGATTTAGTGTGTTTCTGTAGTGTTTCACTCTAACTACACAAACACACAAAATCTCACAAAGCTGTATGTGGAATTTTGTGTGTGTAAAGTGTGAAAGTTGGTTTTGTGGGCTTTTTGTGGCTGTGTGAGGTTCCTGATTGTTGCAGGGGCCATTTTGGGTCTAGCAAAATGTGGATGAGCCAGTTGTGTTGTGTTGTGTTTTGTAGGTTAAAAAAGGGCAAAGAAGTGACATTGACTTGGCCACGCCCACCTGACCAACAAGCCACTCCCTCCCAGTCACCTTAACACCAAGCCCCACCCACTAATTAAGCCACGCCCACAGAACCAGTAGCAAAAAAAATTAGATTTCACCCCTGGACAAAACCATGCAAAGGTAGTACTGGTAGTACAATAGGCACCTGGAGCACTACTTGGACACATTGGCATTGACAAATTCACCATCAGTCAATTGCAAAGGCAGCTTTACTTGGAACAGTTTACATCCTGTGACAATATCTGTAACACCATCAAAGAGCCACATCTGCCTATCCCAGAACCTTGGAAAAGGCTTGATAGTAGACAAAAATGCCAAGTCCAGTCTGAACATCTGGCTGACTGTACGACAAATCATAATGGAATAAAAACCTAAAATAAGTATCAACTTTCATAAGTGACAATACTCTTTTTATCCTGCTTCTTCAAAGCCTAATTTTCAATTCAATGGAGAAGTTGTTCTAAGAGAACAACTTTTCCTGCATGATGGTGATCTTTGTAAGCACAGACACAACACAAGATTGGAATATCTTTTCAAAAGCCTTTCTTATTATACTAACAAGTGTTAGTCTACAGCATATTTCTTGATTTATGATTGCTAATTCCCTTACACTGATAGTCAATTCTAAAAAAAACTGAAGCTTTTTCAGTCTCTTCATTGTAAATTCTGTCTTGTCTCACTTGTTTGCTGATCTGAATCAACCTGTTTCATCATGTTCTATCTGATTGTGGCTTTCTATCCTTCATATAGGTTTCACATGAAGTAATGAGATGCTCTTCAATTGACATTTTCCTAAACATATTCCTCAGATTGATACAGCTGAAAGATTCTAAGTCCTTTCTATAATCAATGAAGCATTATTGACTGCTTTTTTATATACTTTGGATTCCTCAATTATATAGAATGCATAAACAATATTATCTCTTGTTCTTTAGCCTCTTTTCTAAATTCAGCTTAACATCTGGAATTTCATCTTTATGTAGGATTCTAATCTTGAATAATAATCATTATTTTATTAGAATATGAAATTAGGGATATTGTACAATAATTTTCACACCTTCTTTCTTTGGTGTATTATGTTCACTACCTTTTTCCAGCTTATTGGCCACTCTTTAGATTGCTGTAATAGTTTGGTTAGAACTTTGTAGATTCTTCTTCTGCTTATTTATTTCCAAGGACCACAGATATTGGGGGGTGGGGGGCGGGAATTAAGATTTTTTTTAAAAAAAGTATTTCAAACTGTGATCTAAATTCTGTTATTCCCAAAGTCCTTCCTTCCTGAGATTTCTATCTTTCTTGGCTTTGATTTCTCTTTTCTTGCAAATTTTCACTATTTATTTAGCTTTCATCTATTTGTTCCTTCATCTTTGACAGTCTTTTCACATGCATCCTTAACAATGTACTTAAGTTCATTTCCAGTTCTTCTGATTCCTTACCAATGAGGTTCATGCCTTCATAATAATTCCTGATATTCTCCAGGAAAATTATGGCTGTTTTTCAAGATTGTATCATAAAAACCGGTTGTCTTTGAACTTGCACATAAGCAAAAAAAGTGTTCAGCCTCTGGCTATATGTTTGCTATTACATTTTGATTTCTGAGTATTTGATTTCTGTGTATTCTACCTGGTCACATCCATACCCATATGTGTTGTTGTGGCTTCTGGAAAAAAAAATTGGTAGTTGGCTTTGAACAATGAACAAACCAATAGAAGAGAATATAGGTAATTCAGATTGTGGAATTCAACCATAGTTTCAGCTGGGAAACAGGGCTAAATGCAATAAAGCAAAGGAAGTCCTGAACACTTGGTGTTCAGACAAATCAGCCATCAATAAGCACAGAGATAAATAGACACATTTATACAAAAAACAAAAAGGCCAAATCATATCCTCTCCATCAACCTACACTTAACCAAGCAAGGATTAACAGTAGACAAAAAAATTAAGCAGAAAACAATACTCCGCTCAAGGCACTACCAAGGAGAAAAGTACAGCCAACACTGGCAGGACAAGATACTATAAATAACCAGGGAGCAAACCCCATACTCACTAGCACTAATGATGTTACTTGTTTTTTTTTAAAAAAAATATTTTTTATTTTTTTTTCAAACATAAACATAAAATATATCTTCTAAGAATGAAGTCTTGATCCGGTCATAAATAGGTACAATCGCTTACATTTTTTTAACAAACTCCATTCAAAATTTCCTCATTGCATCTTTTAAAATTACAAATCAAAACAAAATTTTTTAACATAAATTCTAACATCTTAATTTAGGCCATATTATTATATCACCACAAATCTTAATTCCCAAATAAACTCCACTCATTTTTATATCCAAATATAAATAAAAGTTCATTCTAAATTTCCTCCATTACTTCTTTTAGCATCAGTATCAAAACACAAATTTAAGAAATATTATAACCTCTTAATTTAAGTATTTACCTTACTATTTTATCACCACAAATCTTAATTTCCAATATATACAACTCTATTTTTATTTCAATTTATAAATCAAAATTTTATCTGTATTTCTTAATGTCTGGACCCATTTCCTCCAATCTTTAGATCTTAAACTTTGTCAATTTACACTTAATTTTCTTGATCTTATCATCTATTACACATTTCATTTTACACGGAATAATCTCAAAATCGTTTCACTTCATTTTAATTGTCTTCCAACATATTCTTTTTCATCCCATATTAATTTGACTATTTTCCAGTATATTCTCCTCTATATCTCCAGCTATTCTTTAGCTGATTTCCAGCAAATTTTATTTTAGCTAAATTTCAGCATATCCTCCTCTATAACTCCAACTGTTGTTTGGCTGGTTTCCAGCATTTTTTATTATTTTGGCTGATTTCCAGCATATTTTCCTCCCTACTACCAACTATTGTTTGGCTGATTTCCAGCATATTTTATTTTGGCTGATTTCCAGCATATTCTCCTCCATACCTCCAACTATTGTTTGGCTGATTTCCAGCATATTTTATTTTGGCTGATTTCCAGCATATTCTCCTCCACATCTCCACCTCTTGTTTGGTTGATACCCAGCATATCTTGTTTTGAGTGTTTTCTTTTCAGTATATTTATCTATTATTTAATTATTTCCAAATATACTCTTCCAGGGTGTTTCCCAACCTATTTCTTAATGTTGATCATTTCCAACATACATTAAATTCAATCACAATTGGTTACTTAAGTCTGCATTTCTTATTCTCTGCTTCATTTTGTTTTCCTGGCCAACTATGATTTCCTATCTGATATTTGCAATTGTGGCATTCCAAACTTCAATCACAAGCAGTGCATCTTGAAATTCATCATAAAACTTGTCAACCTCTTTTCTGCATCAGTGACTGTATCAGTTTGGATAATATTAAAGTGTTGTCTATGGTGCCTAGCTTATATTATTTGGTCACTGATTGCATTGTACCCAATTACTATTATTTCTGTAT